CACGAGCCCGTCCTCCCCAATTAAGGTGCCACCAACCTCCTGTGGTCTATACTGTGTGTCAAAGAAGCAGAGAATGTCGTTTGTGGCTTCTTCGCGTTTTGTAACACCTCACTTGTAATACATTTTACTGCCACAAGATGGAGACACTTGACTCGATGTAGGCAAATCAATTCTAGTAGACTTTTCTATGGAGAGAGTTTCTATGGAGAGTGACAGACACTGGTATTACATACAGCATTACCTTTGTACAAATATAAAAAATATATAAAAGAGACTTAAGGATGGAAGAGGAAATCAATACAGGCTACTCAAATGCTGTCAAATCGACATGTTTTATTCTAAGAACAGATGTTTAAAACATTTGAGCGATAAAGGATTAACATAACCTGGATTAACTCGGTCATTAACAATTTGGCACTAAATTGTGGGCTCTACGTCCAACTAGGAGCCTATAACTACTATTTGTTTCTGCATCTCTGTACTCACATCATCGTTTAAGTAGCAACGAGTAAGACACACCCAAGAACATAGCCCATTTGAATCCAATAATTCTAGTAACAGTGACACCCAATTAAAACAACACTACTTTGTCATCACCTATGATTGTTTACAGCGCTGCTGTAGGCTACTTTACAGAGCTGCTGTAGGCTACTTTAAGGAGCTGCTGTAGGCTACTTTAAGGAGCTGCTGTAGGCTACTTTAAGGAGCTGCTGTAGGCTACTTTAAGGAGCTGCTGTAGGCTACTTTAAGGAGCTGCTGTAGGCTACTTTAAGGAGCTGCTGTAGGCTACTTTAAGGAGCTGCTGTAGGCTACTTTAAGGAGCTGCTGTAGGCTACTTTAAGGAGCTGCTGTAGGCTACTTTAAGGAGCTGCTGTAGGCTACTTTAAGGAGCTGCTGTAGGCTACTTTAAGGAGCTGCTGTAGGCTACTTGACAGAACTGCTGTAGGCTGCTTTAAGGAGCTGCTGTAGGCTACTTTAAGGAGCTGCTGTAGGCTACTTTAAGGAGCTGCTGTAGGCTACTTTAAGGAGCTGCTGTAGGCTACTTTAAGGAGCTGCTGTAGGCTACTTTAAGGAGCTGCTGTAGGCTACTTTAAGGAGCTGCTGTAGGCTACTTGACAGAACTGCTGTAGGCTGCTTTAAGGAGCTGCTGTAGGCTACTTTACAGAGCTGCTGTAGGCTACTTGACAGAACTGCTGTAGGCTGCTTTAAGGTGCTGTGTAGGCTGCTTTAAGGTGCTGCTGTAGGCTGCTTTAAGGAGCTGCTGTAGGCTACTTTAAGGAGCTGCTGTAGGCAACTTTAAGGAGCTGCTGTAGGCTACTTTAAGGATCTGCTGTAGGCTACTTTAAGGAGCTGCTGTAGGCTCCTTTAAGGAGCTGCTGTAGGCAACTTTAAAGAGCTGCTGTAGGCTACTTTAAGGAGCTGCTGTAGGCTACTTTATAGAGTTGCTGTAGGCTACTTTACAGAACTGCTGTAGGCTACTTTACAGAACTGCTGTAGGCTACTTTAAGGAGCTGCTGTAGGCAACTTTAAGGAGCTGCTGTAGGCTACTTTAAGGAGCTGCTGTAGGCTACTTTAAGGAGCTGCTGTAGGCTACTTTAAGGATCTGCTGTAGGCTACTTTAAGGATCTGCTGTAGGCTACTTTACAGAGCTGCTGTAGGCTACTTTAAGGAGCTGCTGTAGGCTACTTTACAGAGCTGCTGTAGGCTACTTTAAGGAGCTGCTGTAGGCAACTTTACAGAACTGCTGTAGGCTACTTTAAGGAGCTGCTGTAGGCTACTTTATAGAGTTGCTGTAGGCTACTTTAAGGAGCTGCTGTAGGCTACTTTATAGAGTTGCTGTAGGCTACTTTACAGAACTGCTGTAGGCTACTTTAAGGAGTTGCTGTAGGCTACTTTAAGGAGCTGCTGTAGGCTACTTTAAGGAGCTGCTGTAGGCTACTTTAAGGAGCTGCTATAGGCTACTTTAAGGAGCTTCTGTAGGCTACTTTAAGGAGCTGCTATAGGCTACTTTAAGGAGCTGCTGTAGGCTACTTTACAGAACTGCACTGAGACCAAACCCCCATGGTGAGACCACACCCCCATGGGATGTTTCAGCCGCTAAAACTGCACAATGCGTTCCCAAAAGTTGTACTTAAAATTTTAATTTTACATAACTAAATAATACATATCAGTGAAGACAATACAAATCATATAACAATGAGAGAAAGAATAGGCTATTATTGCATCAAATGCAAAGTGATGACAAAGTTACATAAATGTATATAAATCAAAAATCCAGCACTTTGTTGATATATTATATGACATGTAAAAACATACCGAGCAGATGATGAGCAGAAGAAGAGTAATTCTGGTGATAATTCCCTCACACATTGTTTGCGTCGTTTATTTCAACAGCGTGCGCATTCAGTCCAACACGTTTGTTTTCGTTCAGTGAGACAGACACACAGACAGGAGTTTCCCTTTTCTCTCACTCGGTAGTCGTTCGTTGACTCGCTGCAGGGCTCCACTGAGGCATGGACAAGAGAACCCCTACTTTAAATACACCGCGAGGCGGGGTGTAGCCGAGGAAACAAGAGTTATGCCACGCGACCCAAAGGGGTCAAAATATTCAAATTCCAGATGGCTTTCTTTTTCCTAATTCCTGAGAGGAGAGCTGTTTTTAGACAGGCATCACCCTCAATCAACCTACTGTTTCAGCCAGGTGGGGGTTTTTTACGTCCTAAATCATGAACAGACAAGAATGTTTGTGAGTCTAATTTGACATGGACTAAAGGAGAACATTGTTCATTTTGGCCACCATTCAGACCAAAAATAGCCTACATCAACTTCACTGTGATTATGAATTTGGAATTAAAATGCATGGATATTGGGGAAGGATTATTATGTAATAACCAGGGGTAATAACATGGTAAAGATTGCGTCCCATAGGGCTCTGGTCAAAAGTAGTGTACTACTTTATGTAGGGTATAGGCCGTCATTTGAGATGCACACAAAGTATCAATGTTGTTCACATGATATAAACCTTGAATAACACACTGAGACCAGCCTAATAGTAACTGTCAACAGGTGATTACAGGTGAAATGCTGCACAGACACACAGCAACAGGAAATGGTCACCTATTTAGAAGAGGGCATCGCTCACTGTCTGCCAATGTCTGATCTGGACCGTAAATCATTGTCATTTGTCATCTTGGTCTTTTTCCCACACTGTGCCTCTCCTCTTGTACCTTTCTTAGAGGGAGTCTACAGATGGCGCCAGGGCCAGGGGTCTGTACCTTTCTTAGAGGGAGTCTACAGATAGCACCAGGGCCAGGGGTCTGTACCTTTCTTAGAGGGAGTCTACAGATAGCACCGGGGCCAGGGGTCTGTACCTTTCTTAGAGGGAGTCTACAGATAGCGCCAGGGCCAGGGGTCTGTACCTTTCTTAGAGGGAGTCTACAGATAGCACCAGGGCCAGGGGTCTGTATCTTTCTTAGAGGGAGTCTACAGATAGCGCCAGGGTCAGGGGTCTGTACCTTTCTTAGAGGGAGTCTACAGATAGCACCAGGGTCAGGGGTCTGTATCTTTCTTAGAGGGAGTCTACAGATAGCACCAGGGCCAGGGGTCTGTATCTTTCTTAGAGGGAGTCTACAGATGGCGCCAGGGCCAGGGGTCTGTATCTTTCTTAGAGGGAGTCTACAGATGGCGCCAGGGCCAGGGGTCTGTATCTTTCTTAGAGGGAGTCTACAGATAGCGCCAGGGCCACAGAGGTCTTTTGTATGAATAGGAAGTGAGGCTTTAGTCAAGGTAGCTTATAGTTTGAAGAAGAGCATCAGTTTAAGCATAGAGGACAAACATGGGACGTTCAACTCCAAGACAAACACTATGCAACAGCTATCGTTTTGAGAGTTCTTAGAGAGAGAGAGGGAGGGAGAGAGAGCGAGAGACAGAGAAAGAGAGAGATGATATGAAAGATTGCCAGTACAGAGTAATGCTCAGGTGTTTCTAACCACCAGAGGGGAGATGTCTGTCATGACATCCTATGTAAATGAACCATGAGCGCATTAAAACCCACTGTAGAGGATAAAACGGTCTGTCATGTCCTCACATAGTAGTAAAAACAGGGTGATTGAAAGTCAAGAACAGCCTGTCCACTCCACTCCTCACTTGTCAGGTGTTAAATAGGAAACACACACGGGGAAGGGGAATAGGAAACACACACGGGGAAGGGAAATAGGAAACACACACAGGGAAGGGAAATAGGAAACACACACGGGGAAGGGAAATAGGAAACACACACGGGGAAGGGGAATAGGAAACACACACGGGGAAGGGAAATAGGAAACACACACGGGGAAGGGGAATAGGAAACACACACGGGGAAGGGGAATATAGGAAACACACACGGGGAAGGGAAATAGGAAACACACACGGGGAAGGGAAATAGGAAACACACACGGGGAAGGGGAATAGGAAACACACACGGGGAAGGGGAATAGGAAACAAACACGGGGAAGGGAAAAGTCAATGTTGTGCTCTGTTTTCTTCCATCTTGCCCGGCCAGCAGCTATTTCCTGGAGCATGACGACCTCGTGAAGTTTTGTGTGTCTACCTAGAAAGTCAAGAGGTTCTGTTTGCCCAAACGCCACAGCGAGCACAGTCACACCAGGGGTCGTATTTGAGAACATAATGAACGAGAACAAGCTAACTCGGTTTGTAACGCAATGCTTCCCCCCCCCCCCCCCCCCCCCCCCCCCCCCGCCCTCCCTTTCTCGCATAATAGCTCAAACGGTTGCTATTTATATGAGGAAGAGCACCCTCTACCATGCAACAGGCAAGGATAACATCCGAAGCCTGCAACTTATTTAAGAATGATAAACACACTAAAACCTGGATCATCGTAAGGTAAACAAGCAATGATGCCAGATCACTAGGTAGCACAAGCTGATACACTGGTACTCAGTGTTTACGATTCACTACTAGATAACATCAGTAGAATGCTGTAGTGGGTGTGTGTGTGTGTGTGTGTGTGTGTGTGTGTGTGTGTGTGTGTGTGTGTGTGTGTGTTTAGCCCATGTTTACGATTTATTCGCTTTTGTTGCCATTCATTGACCGCATCACAAACTTCCCCACACACTGTAATTCACTCCACTTGTTTTTGTAGTACCACACATGGCCACCAGGAGGCCAACACCACGCTGCTCATAGTCTCTCTGGAAGGACGGATGTGTTGCCTCCCACAACGTACCAATGTTCTGGCTTAACGTTAGTGCTGTTGCTGCCCTAGGTCTGGGATTTCAGAGACTACAATGGTCATATCACAGAGCGAGAGGGAGGGAGAAGTTCACATCTTTTGTGTGTAAGTGGGGGATTTAACCAAAAATAAACATTCCTACTGTGTCCGATCTACAACAGGGGTTTCTTATACACGAGGTGAGGTCCTGGGAGACTAAACTGAGACAGTACAGGCTCTTTAAGTCAGTGAGTGGAGCAAGGGAACAAACAGGCCAGGTATATAACCAACAGTAACCCGTTGCAATGTGTTGTTCATGCTTTTTTTCCCTTTGTCTGCACATATGATCATTGCCCACATTTATATCCCCGTATGTTTCCACTCTGAAGTTGATTCTTGGCACCCAGGATGGAAGCCTAGTGGGTGTAGATTTGATTGAGGTGACATCTGCCCTGACCTCAGTGCCTGTAAAGTCATCCAACTTGGCTTCAAAATAAACACTTTGACTCATAGACTTATTATGGCAGGATCTAGGGGAGTTAATTGCTTCCTGTGTTAATAATGAACGGTGCCCTATGGTCTCTGGTGAAAAGTAGTGCGCTATATGGGAAATAGGGTGCCGAATAGGGTGCCATTTGGAATGAGGTGTTTGGCTATGCTCTCCTCTCTGCCTGATGCTTGTGTCTGCACCACGGCGCTCTGGTGACTCACACCAGCCAACAGTCGAAGGCTTGAACGCACCGACCGAGACCAAACAGTTCCCTGCTGGAACTAAGGCTGCGTGACAAATGACGCCCTATTCCCTATTTAGTGCCTGACTTTTTATTAGAGTCTTATGGAGCCCTGGTCGAAAGTAGTGCACTATAAAGGGAATAGGGTGCCATTTGGGACGCATGCCAGGCCTACCGTTCAGCCTCTGCTCTCAGCCTCCACGGCCTTTGTGACGCATCCTAAGTCTTCATCACAAAGTCAACACTTTTCAGAGCCCTTTGGAAGCCGTTCGTTGCCGACTTACTGACGCTAACACTGTAGCGGTCCCAGTCAGAGAAAAACATTCATCCTTCATTACTTACAGCGACGTGAGACATCAACATCCTTCGAGATTAATCTGTGTTGGGTTGGGTGGAGTTGGCTCCCTCCCCTTCAGCTCATATCTCAGGCAGGCAGCAAAGTGTGAGGGCCAACAGGGCTTATCATCAGGGGGCTTCCTGGACCTCCTGTGGAGGAGAAGAGATGGAGAGCAGACTTCAGGGCTGTCCCAAATGGCACCCTATTCCCTATATAGTGCACTACTTTTGACCAGGGCCAATAGGGAATAGGGGAATAGGGTAGTGCACTTTGTAGGGCATAGGGTGCCATTTGGGACGCATTACTAGGTCATGATCTCATACAGTCAACCTCCCTCTCTCACAGTCTTTTATCTCAGCTGACTCGCATTTCCTCCATGCCTGATGACCTCACCTGTTAGTGAAGCTGACCAGCGTTATTAGAGAAGGATTAGCCAGTGAGGCAGGGCGGAGGGCGGAGCGCTCCTCAGCCAGAGCCCAGCCGTGTGATCGGAGCCTGCCGGACAATCTGATTACGTCGGGGTAACGTTCCTGCTGAGATGAACAGAAAGTGGAGTTGGGCCTCATCTGGTTCTGTGGGTTTCCTTCACGACGTTCACAGTTAACGCCTGTCGTCTGGGAACGAGATGACAACCCGTGATTTTCCTTCTGACAGGGAGGTGAACTTTTGGCCCACGATGCTTACCGTATCGTGCGGAACCCTGCATCCCAGGGCCCTGGTAAAAAATTGTACACTATTAAGGGAATAGGATACCATTTGGGGCGTAGCATATGTTTGGTGCATTGTATACCCTGGACTATGAGACCGACGGCTCCACACAATCAGAACTAGTGCAAGGCAAAACAACATTATTCCCAACTTGTGAAAAAGTGTGTTTGGATCCAGTTCCATTTCTTTCTGTTTCATAGAGAAAATAGTGTTTTATTAATTCAGTAAATTCTAAATCTACAGTACATTCTCGCTGTAAGTCTTACCCCGGAAATCTCTGGATCACAATGTGATTAAACAAAGACTTTGCAGTTCTTATTATTTTACATGGACTGACACTTTAACACTCATGAAAAATAAGGAACCTGAATAATAAGTGAAAAGCAGTGGGAGTTTTTTTATCTACGAAAGACTACGGACCAAACAGCCAAGTAGAGAACAACAACAACAACAACCTTGGGATGATTTAGATTGAGCTGCTCTTGATCTTACATGGACATACCAGCCTCTGA